AAAAAAAATTCAATTAAATATCTATATTTCCAAACAAAACAAATTTAAAAATTTACAAACGAACACAATTTCTTGAGGTGGTAATTCCCCCATCCACAACTAGATTATGACCACTAACATACTTAGACTCTTCACTAGCAAGATAAAGAGCAGCTTCAGCTATGTCTTTAGCCCTCAAAGTTGGACCTTTCAAATTAGCAAGTCCTCTCACAAACTCCTCCATTTTCTCCACTTCTTGCTCACTAGGCAACCCAAAATTCAAACTTTCTTCATCATCATCTTCCTCACCACAAGATCTCCAAGCATTGACCAGCATTGACGTGGCAACTCCAAAGGGAGAAATGCAATTAACCCTAATTCCGTACTTCCCTAATTCACAAGCCGCGTTCTTGGTGAGGCCAACAATGGCGTGCTTCGACGCGGTGTAGGCGTGAGGACCGAGCCCTCCCATGACGCCGGCGACGCTGGCGGTGGAAATTATGCACCCCCCGCCGCCCCGCAGGATCATCGCCTTCGCCGCGTGCTTCATCCCGAGGGCAACTCCCCTCACGTTCACCCGCATTACTTGGTCGAATTCGTCGGCGTCGAAGTCAATGATGCTCTTGTGTCTAGACTGGCTCCCGAGCACCCCGGCGTTGTTGAACAGAATGTCGATCTGTCCGTACCGGGAAACGGTCGATTCGATTAGGTTTTCGATGTCTTCTTCGGAGCTGACGTCGCAGTGGACGAAGGATACTGAGGCTCCAAGCGTGTCGGCGAGGAGTTCTCCGTGCTTGTCCTCGACGTCGGCGATGACGACCTTCGCCCCGTGCTTGGCGAAAAGCCTCGCCGTCGCTTCTCCGATCCCTCTGGCGCCGCCGGTGACGATTGCCACTTTTCCTTCCAACCTGTAAACATGTAACGACAAAGTCATTAGCACTTGGTTTTGAAGCGTTCAAAGGGAACATATGATATATCGGAATTTGCATTGTAAAACGACAAGGGTAGTTTTGCATATGTAGTTTTTAATTGAGACTTCCAAGATGAAGAACTGGCTAGTCTAACACATTGGTCATATTATAAATTAACCATTGTTTGCCCATGAAAGATAAATGTGGTTTCT